TTAAAAAATTATTAATAATAATATATTATATATATAATACCATATATAATATAATAATAATAATCAAGCAGGAAACTTAATAGTTATGACCATTCTATTCCAAAAACACAGACAACCAATGGATTTTTGATCATGGGAAAAAATCAAAAAAAATTTTATCATATTGTAATTACAAAAATATTTGTACAGAATGTTAAATAAATGGTTATTTATCACATTTCTTCAAAAATTGTCGTTGTTGCTAGCAGTTACGAACATTCTGGTGAAAAAACTACCAATACAACTCAAACAACGCATTTTGAATTTCGTGACTGCGAGGTGCACGCGGAAAAAAATCCATAAAAAATTTCATTATAATCTAATTTCAAAAATATTTTTACAGAATGTTAATAGATGGTTAATTATTACATTTCTTCAAAAAAATCGGTGTTGCTCATGAAACTTAGCAGTTATGAACATTCTTATAAAAAAACACAGCCAATACAATGCATTTTCGTGACCGACGGTGCACGCGGAAAAAAATCCATAAAAAATTTCATTATACTCTAATTTCAAAAATATTTTTACAGAATGTTAATAAATGGTTAATTATCACATTTCTTCAAAAAAAATCGGTGTTGCCCATGAAACTTAGCAGTTATGAACATTCTTATAAAAAAGCACAGCCAATGCAACGCATTTTGGTGACCGACGGTGCACGCGGAAAAAAATCCATAAAAAATTTCATTATACTCTAATTTCAAAAATATTTTTACAGAATGTTAATAATTGGTTAATTATCACATTTCTTCAAAAAAAATCGGTGTTGCCCATGAAACTTAGCAGTTATGAACATTTTTATAAAAAAACACAGCCAATACAATGTATTTTAGTGACCGACGGTGCACGCGGAAAAAAATCCATAAAAAATTTCATTATACTCTAATTTCAAAAATATTTTTACAGAATGTTAATAATTGGTTAATTATCACATTTCTTCAAAAAAAATCGGTGTTGTCCATGTTTAACTAACTTTATAAAAAAAATTAAAATACACCAACCTCGTAGCGAATAGTCTGCAACAAATGTGACTCAGAACAACAAAGAAAAAATATTTTTATAATAATACACATTTCTTTTATCGCTCATAACAACCAAAAATTATATAGATGGGCGCATTTTCGAAAAATAAACAAAAATAACGACGACGAAAACGCGAGTTTGCGATAACAATGTAAATTCACTTTCAGAAAAATTCCTTAAAGTTCAGCGCGCGCGCTTCCGCATTTTTCAACGTTATGCGACCTGCTAGTATAAATTATGTAATTATATAATTTATTATTCACTGTGTCGGTCAGGATGCTGTTTAATGGCGAAATTTTATAAAAATTAGATTATTTAATCAAATTTTAATCATTTAAAATTTTTATATAATGAAATCACTTCATTAGGATTTTCTGATTATGATTATTTAAAAAATGTTGTAATGCATCATGCATGCTAACCATTATGCTAACCATGCATTATTCATGGTTAGCGTTAGTGAAATAAATGGCTATTAAATTATCAATTAGTTATGATTATACATTTTATGCTACTCATCACTACAGAATAATTGAAGAGTACTATAATATAATTATAATTAGTGCTTGAAAATCTTACTAAATCAAATAGAATGCATTAGACATTAGAGATTAAAGGGTTTATATATATTAATAATATTCCATGAATATATGCTTTAAAAATTTGAATTAATTCTAATGTTTAGTTTTTTGTGTAATAATAATTGTAAATAAAAAATTAAATTATGGTCTACATTTTAGATTAATATTACCTTATCAAAAACTATTAGTGGATTTTATGCCTAAATGCTTCTAAACTTGATATATAAAAAATATGCAAAACATCTTAAGTTAAGATTCTTAATGAATAGAAATGATTACACATCAAATTATAATTACAAGTTTGGCTTTATATTTTATGATTTTATATTATGTATTTAATTTTTGTTACAGTCGGTCGCTATTTCATGTCCTTGTCTTATAACTGTAGTGAGGAGTGGAAAAGAAGGTTAACATTGCCTTTGATAAATAATATCAATGCAAGTGTGTATGAAACTTTATTTCTATTTTTTTTAAATTAAATTATTTTGTTAAAATCAGTAAACTTGACTGATTTAAAGCATTTTATTATATAATGTTTTAAACTAGTTGAAAATAAAACTTCAAAAACATCAGTACTCTGTATGATCACCAACTGACTTACTTCATAGCTCTGATTAATTGTCTTTGCTGTATTGCATTTTTATTTTCATATATGGCAGTTGTCATGCAGTTGAAACACTTTTGAACGCCGTTACTCCTTATTACCACTTATCTTGAATGGCCTATTGGTTAGGGTGCCAAGCACTGTTGATTGTGCAATGAGTGGGTTTGAATACAAAGAATCCCCACCTATCACTTCCAATGTTTGTTACACCTTGATTTACATCTATTTACATACACTGTGTATTTGTTATTCATCCTTTTGGGAAATACGGTAAAGAGAATTGTAAAAATATCTTAGGCTGTTTATCTGCAAAAGCATCAGACCCCATAAGTCCATAAAGTTTAAATTATTTTGCAATATTAGTTATTACAAATTTAACATTTAAATGTACTAAATTGATTATATTTAGTTAGAGGATTAAAATGTAGTTTTTTAAAGATCAAGAGAAAAATTAAAAAACTGACCAACTTTGACACAATTAGAGAAGGTTATGTTAAAGAAAATAATTACAATGAACACAGTTTAGATAATTGCAAAAGAAAATATTTTAGAAATTATTTTGAGTTTCCAATGAACTCCTCTAGTTGCACTTTTCATAGTTCATTAATAAATCATTTGTAATATGGAACAAATTTCCCATTATCGGTAGCACTAGACTATTTAGAAAAAATAATTAAAATGCCTTACATAATTTTTAATGTTGAACAACAACTCACAGGCGATCATTTTAGGAAAGTGAAACAGATTGCTGATGAGGGTGGCACCATACATGCCGTTGATATGGACATCGTTAGCAATTTTACGTTCAATTACTAACCTGAGAAATTGTTTACATTCTGTTTCAATAGTTCACTCATTCAGTTATTAGTTAGAAATGATATATTATATACTGAAGAAAATTCATGTTATTGTGACCATAAAAATAAGAAACTCTAAAACGTTTGTTAATCTGGATGGCATATGAAGCCTTCACTCAATTACCATTACAATCTTTAATATGGTTTCGTTTCATTACTTTACTGCAATGACGGTTTTCAACGTATGGCATACACCATTTAAATATCCATCATACATTTTGGTGTACAATAAACAGACACACAAACGAGATCTGTTTAATATTTTTAGCATTTTCTTGAGATTACCATAGAACACTGTTCAATACATTTTGGAAAGTAACTTATGCTATAAAAAAAACTAATATAAATTTTCCGACAAGAAAAATTGTTTATTTCAGGCTTCAAAAACATTACTAATAATTATTATATTAATTTTATTGAAAAATATTTCCATTATTCAGTTGGCCAATAAATTAGAAGAAATTGAACCTGTTTCATACAACTTGGTTGAACAAATATTTTACAAGTAAGTTTTTTTTCACAGAAAAACCTTTTGTGTTGTGAAATGACTTGCAGTATGAAACGTCAATATAAAAAATTGAAGAAAGACCAGATCTGAAAGAATGTTACATCTAATAGTTTTCATTTTGTATGTATCCCATTAATTTAATGTGTATCTGCTTACAAATTCTCTAATTAATATCATCTGTATCAGGTTGCTAACTTTTTTGTTCTCCCACTTGACTTTCCTGGTTCAATCATATCTTTTAAACTTCAACATTATTTATCAATACATTCAGCAGGCAACTTAGCTCAGTTGGAATGATTATCTCGTTTATTATTGTTTCCGATTCTTTCTATTCATTTTGTAGCATTTTAAGTCAACTTCGTGCTTTAATATATTATGATTCACATTTCTTACTCATCATCTAGTTTAGGAATTTTAGTTGTTTTTAAATGTTTACAAAATACATATTTTATTTTATTCCAACCAAAAATAAATTGAAATAAAAAAGGACCTAATTAGCGTTTATGCTATTTTCAATTGGTCCTAAATGGTAAAGCAAAAGTCCAAATAATTAATCAAGAAACATTAAATATTTAGGATATTAATTCGTGTCCCCATCAGTAAATATAAAAATGAAAAATTAATCATAACTAAAATATAAAAAATACAAAAATTAATTAGCTATTATACATTGTGCAATTATACTAAATTAAAAATTTTTTGGTTGGTTGCCTGTTTTGAAATTTGTTATGTAAATATTTTGCTAACTAGTTAAGGCACAATTTATTTTGCAATATATAAACTCGATTATTTTTATCGCCCACTGTTCTGGTTTTTTTAGGTTTAGACATTCCAAACAATGTCTCGATGTGACTCCATCAACGTGCCATGCCTTGATGAGGACATTAAAGGAACAAGGGGATTATGAACGTTTGTTCAAAATCTTAGAGGACAAGGTCATTAAACTCTTGTTTCTTTGTCACGCTTTTTGAAAACGTTATTTATGTCATTTTTGTACTTCATTTACAGATTAATTATGGCATATTTTTAGATGATTATACTTGCAATTTACTGTTGGATCATTTCATCCATAACAATCTGTACAAAGGTTTATTTTCAACAAAGTTATTAATTTCTTTTTTGACTATATTGACTTTTTTCTTTTCAACATCATATTTTCACGTTAACACTGTTTTAGAGGCTCTAAGGATAGTGTCGGATATAATGTTACAAGAAAATTTTGACCACGTTATAACCAGGTCATTGTCTTATTATGCCTGCCACCAATACATAAAAAATTTACCTGATATTAAAATCAACGCACCTCCAAAAGTTCCAGATGTTAGTGTCTGCCAGTGTTGATATAATCTATACTGGAATCATTTCGGTTTATCACTGATCATTTCACAATTATTTTTCTTAACATTTAAAAGCTAATGAAATATTTTTATTCTCATAATAATCTCATCAATAAATCTTCATAAATAAATTCCATCTCCATTAGCTGACGTGTCTCCAAGCTATGTTCTTGGAACCCTTTCTTTAGCCACATCTGTGATTTCATTTATATTTTTTTCATTACAGCTCGACAACCTTGATGCACTAACAAAATGTTTGCACTATTTCATCGTTAATAATACAGTCACCATCATCAATTTTTAATGAAAAATGAACTTATTGCTTTGCTACTATTAAAACACGCGTCAACTGTGTTTCCGATAGTAATTCTACTTTTTCCAACGATATTCTCGATATTTATAGCTTTATTTTTTTATATTATTCAGAAATATATTGCTTTTTTAGGACATAGAAGTCATATATAGAAAAGTGCCTTACATTGAAAATCCTTGGTACGATGATCATTTCGATCTCTATTCCGACATCTTAAAATTAGGGAAATCGTTGGTCATGTTGGCCGGTTCATATGCAGATGTAGTATCAAGGGGATATCTTGTAATTGGTTATTTACTCTACCAAAAAGTTGACAAAGCTTTACAAGTCCTTAAATGTTACAAAGAGAAACATGACGGATTAATGTTGTTGGAATATCATGTAAACAAATTTTTAAAATTTTTAGGAACTGAA